AACTACTGTAGAAGGGAGCTCCAGAGTTTATTGACTATAACAAAAGTTTTATTGATCGCTGTCAAATGTTAATCGGAGTAAAAAACAGTCATCAAAAACTACTCCCTGTGTGTCAGTTCCTTCGTGAACAAACATCATCGGTATGCTTTTTTCGGAATCTTCCTCCTTATCTTTACATTCGATGAGCCAATATGCAAAATCTAGTCTTGCTCTGGGCACATTTCGACAGATGATCTCAGTCCATTGTTCACTCTTCGTCGACCACGACCATGTGTCGTTGAGTGCTTGACCACTTCCTGCTAATCCACCAAAGATGAATAACGTTGATGTTGTTTCGATCGAATCACCGCCATGTGCTGCACGGGCCATGGGAAAAGAGGACGACGAACGATGTTCGCTCCGTCTAGAGCGATGATGAAGGCGTGGTCATTCATGTCCTCGAAAGGTTTCAACCATTTATTTTCAACTACTTTTCAATTAATCAACAAACAAATAACGAAAAGTCTTCAAAAATAATCGTTACACGAACATTGCCCGTTTTTATGAAAGTGATGAATTCGATTCGCATCTCGAACTATTATTTCACATTGACGAATTGCAGCGATCAACTTTGTTGCTCGATCTAAAACACAAATTCATCAAATGAATTACTCACATCAAACATCAAATCAACACTTACGACAATCGCCACACACTCTCAAGTTCTTCATGATTTGAATTCTTTTCGCGTGAGGATTAGCCACGAAATTTTATGCCATCGCAAGTCGCTCACTATGACCACAGAGAACCGATTCGACACTTTCATCTTCACCCATCGTTCGAGTTATCCAACTGGAATCGTACTCATGGCCATGTGCGACTAATTCTTTTGACATTTTCTGGACTTCACGATAGATTTCGTCTGATCGAGGATGAGATATGTCATGAGCGCGAAATTCCTACAATCAAATCATTTCATATTACTTCAAACAAGACATCGTAAGTCGTGTTCGGACTTACATACATTTCTCCATCAACTACAGTCGTTGATGTACCGATCTTCTTCTTTGCTCCGGATTTTCTGTGTTGAGTTCGAATATGTGATGCCTTTCCTATGTCACCAGATGATGCATAGGTGTTCGCAAGAAGAACTTTAGCTGCTGTCAAGGAATCTTTCATGGACGGAAACAATCTCTTCAGTTGATCATAGATATTCTGTGCTAACTGAGCATTCTTATCATTTCTTGCACCCGACAACAACGCCACTAAAAGAAAGGAAAAGAAACACGATCAATACGTTGATTTCAGCTATGCTGTTGTCCTTCAGTGGAGGAATTATCTGAAACGATAACACTTACTGTGCATATCTACGACGGGTGGATACGAACGTTCGAATTCATCGATCAACGTCTGTGCTTCATCGAACAAAGATGCACGAGCAAGGCAATCGATCTACACGAAAAGCAACGGTGATTGAACACTTCCTCCAACTAGATTAATCAAGTTTGTCAATATACCATGGTCGTCCACACTGTCGGTGTTTTCGGTTCAATCTTTTCAAAGATAGAGCGAGCTTGGTCAACTAGGCCAGAGTGTGAACATGCATTCAATATGCAAATATAAGTCACTTCATGGATGAACTCTTTGGGCATTTGAGAGAACAGTTCAAGAGCTTGCATACCCATTCCATTGAGACCATAACAATTGACTAAATATTAAGCTTTCATAGCGAATTGATCGTCAACAAACAATAACTTTAGTCTTCCATACTCATTGTTGTGTATAGAAATGCGTGTCTTTGAGAAGTGTCTTCGAAAATCTTTCGTGCATTGTCTATACATCCAGTTTTACCCTACGAAAGCGATCCGTTTACGATGAAACAGACGAAATGACCTTTATCTTACCCACATATCAATCAGAGCATTGCGAATCTGACTATCGAGAAGAATCGATTCAGGTATTTGGTTGATTGTTGGTTCGACAAGTGAAAGATCACCGATGAGTGCTAAAGCTTTGATAACGCACAAATAAATAATCGTTTCCGGTTCTAAACCTTCACGTTTCATTCGATAAAACAGTTGCATAGTTTTTTTCCCTTGCTTTTCATCGTTGAATCCATTCATAAGATTCCCGTAACTGACTATCGATCTTTTCATTTTCGAAAACATTATCTCCGCCGTGAATGTGTCCCTACATTTGATTAACGCATCTAACAGAGAAGTTGCCACGTAATCATCCGAATAAAATGATGCTGGCATTCTCTTCGAAATCGTTTTTGCCAAAGCTAAAGCTTCTGGAGTTCGCAATTGAGCACAAGCGCTGAACACGAGACTTGTGTTGACATGGTCAGGATGTTCAATTTCTCTGAAGAGGTCAACAGCTTTGTCTGCTTGATTATTCTCAATATAGCCTAAATGAAAACAGTCAACTGGACTCAGTTACGTGAGACATATCGATATACCTTTCATCATCGCTCCATATATAGGAAGCGTCTTTTTCGTTTCTAGTGTAGTGAATATGAGTTCCGCATGTTCCACATCTCCACATTTCACCAGTGCATCCAGTAAAGACGTGATAATGAACTCATTCTGAAGAAATGACTGGTTCATAATTGATAAGACGTGTTTCGTCAAATTCAGTGCTTCTGGCGTTCGTAGCTGCGCACAAGCATTGAAGAGGAGATTGATAATAATCGCATCAGGAGGATCGATCTTCTCGAATAGATCAATGGACTTTTGTGCTTGATTACTCGCAATATAACCTGAAAAACAACTCAATTCAATGCACACAGATACAAAATATACATACCTTTCATCATTGCACCGTACATAGGAAGTTGCTTTGTCTTTATTGTCTCGAATATCTTCTCAGCGTGCTCTACATCTTCACATTCCACCAATGCATTCAATAACGATGTAACCAGACGATGATTTGAGTGAAATGTCTTTCGTGTTTGCTGTGACACCTTTTTCATGGCGTCCAATGCTCGTTGCGTCTTCAGATCGGCACAAACTTGGAAGAATACAACAAGATTCACCTCACTCGGTGTTTGGATTTGATGAAAAACTTCGAATGCTTTCTGTGCTTCATTGTTTGTCAGATATCCTACAAGAACTTGTTCTATTTTTATACTAACGTGCACATGAAATAAGTCACCTTTCATCATCGCGCCGTACATAGATGGAACTTTTGTCTTTGTGTCATGAAATAGTGTTTCAGCACTTCGAATATCACCACATTGCACTATGAAAAGCAAAAGACATGCGACGGACAATATATTGATGAAACTTACTGTACATATGGATGAGTGATGTCACTATGTATTCATTTTCCTTCGTGTGTGAGGAAACAAGATCATGAATCGCTTTACCACTTCGAATATCTTTGAGACGAGCACATGCTTTCAGAGCCTGTGCAATCACCGATCTTGACAGAGTTTCGTTGTTGTTTTTTTGATGTTGATGAAAAAGTTGAAGTGCTTGTTGGAATTGTTTGCTATCGTTCAATGTCTTCAATCGATCGCCGAGACTACAAGCGAATCTGATGATTGTGGTTCCTTTAAGGAGACTCATGAGAGGCACTAAACCATAATTTAATGATGGTCTCCACATGAACTAACTTTGTAGAAGTAACTTGCGACCTAAAGTACGACAAATGTCAAGAAAAGATTTTTAAACGAGACCAAAGATAATTACGGCGACGAATAAACGAAAAGAAAGCCTTTTCTTCACGAAAGAAAATAGATCGGGTTAATTTCGGCTTAGAACAGCGTGTGTCTTCACTTCGAGAGCGAATGCATCGATCGGAAGCTAGAACGAAAACCAACTAAATGTCGTTTTCGTCGATTCGATGGAAAGACAGAAACCTAATTAGACTTTCATTGCTGCAATAATTTTCTATGCACTTTAGGAAGTGACTGTAATATGGACATTAAAGTTCGAATTAATAGAGTTTCTTAAAATAACATTCATTCATTCATTCGTTCGTTCGAGACAAGACAAGAGAAGAACCTATCGCATTTCATTAGTGGTTAACGAAAATTGATATGAATAAATATGTATAGATGGTGCTGGAGTGTTGATCACCATATGCTAAAAAAGACATCGTTATCAAAAGCTTCTCCTTGGGTGTGTGTTACTGTATGATGATATACTTTCAATCGGAACATCACCCTGTGTTGTGTATGCATAACATAAGACCAAAAGCCGATGGGCGATCTTCATCATCTCTGGAGTAATCATGAAGGTGTAATCATTGCCCGTCTTCCAAAGGTTTTAACATTCTAACGGGTGAGTCAGAAACAATGAGTCTCTCTGTATTTGACGAATATCTCTATTATAGTTTGACGTGAATACTTGAGTTTGCTTTACAAAAGATAGCTCGTGAAATTCTCTACAAATTCTGATAGCAAGAGTTCTTCCAACGAATCATCCTAAAATTATACCAAGTCAATCTAACAATGCCCTAAATAAGCCCACTTTCAAATACGCATTTTATAAAACTAACCATTTTAATTCTTCAAACTAGATAATTAGAAAACTCTCTTTTGATGTCAGACTACTGTGTCGTTAGACTCGCTTTTCCAAATAAAGTTGAAACGTGGCTGTTTGAAAACAATTCCGAGTGTCCATCGGTCAGTGTTCTTGAAACGTAAGTAGGAACTATCTGATTGTTCGGTTCCGAGTCTTCATCATTGCAGCAACTAACTTTGTATCACACTATTTCCATGAGAACTAGAGAGAAAACATTTTACTTTAATTTTTCAACAGATCTGAATGAGTAACAACGGCTCATTAGTCTGTCGAATCCAAAATTATAAGGAACTTCAAAGTAAGATTTTTTGAATGAAACTAGCGGACAACCAAGGTTAGACTTTTCCAGTTAAATTGGCAACACATCGAAATGACGTTTACACCAACTGATAGAGCATTTCACCGACTATAAATTCCCCCAGCAAAATTTTCTCCAAGTGAACGAAGGAACTATAGAATGGTAAATTTGAGCGACAGTGTTTTGAAATTGGACCGCTTAAAGGCATTGTAAGATTGACTTGGTGTAATTTTACGGAGACTCTTCCGAAGAATTCTTTCCTTCAGGATTTGTAGAAAATTTCATCTACTGTCTTTTGGAAAGCAAACTCGAGTTTTCACGGCAAACTATAAGAGACATATTCACGAACCATAGAGAGCCACCTTCTTTCTGACTCACCCTTTATTTTCAACTCTTTTCTATTTAATTCACAAACAAAGGACAAAAGTCTTCAAAAATAATCGTTACACGAACATTGCCCGTTTTTATGAAAGTGATGAATTCGATTTGCATCTCGGACTATTATTTCACATTGACGAATTGCAGCGATCAACTTTGTTGCTCGATCTAAAACACAAATTCATCAAATGAATCACTCACATCAAACATCAAATCAACACTTACGACAATCGCCACACACTCTCAAGTTCTTCGTGATTTGAATTCTTTTCGCGTGAGGATTAGCCAAGAAATTCCATGCCATCGCAAGTCGCTCACTATGACCACAGAGAACCGATTCGACACTTTCATCTTCACCCATCGCTCGAGTTATCCAACTAGAATCGTACTCATGGCCATGTGCGACTAATTCTTTTGACAATTTCTGCACTTCGCGATAGATTTCGTCTGATCGAGGATGAGATCTGTCATGAGCTCGAAATTCCTATAATCGAATTATTCCATATTGCTTCAAGGAAGAAACTATAAGTTATGTTCAAACTTACATAAATTTCTCCATCAACTACAGTCGTTGATGTACCGATCTTCTTCTTTACTCCGGATTTCATGTGTTGAATTCGAATATCAGCCGCCTTTCCTATGTCACCAGATGATGCATAAGTGTTTGCAAGAAGCACTTCAGCTGCTGTCAACGGATCTTTCGTGGATGGAAACAGAGTCTTCATTCGATCATAGATATTCTGTGCTAACTGAGCATTCTTATCATTTCTTGCACCCGACAACAACGCCACTAAAACAAATGAAAAAAAATTCAATGAATATATTGATTTCAGCCATGCTGTTGTCCTTTAGTGGAGGAATTATCTCAGATGATGACACTTACTGTACATAGCTATTGCGGCTCGATGCGAACGTTCGAATTCATCGATCAACGCTTGTGCTTCATCGAACAAAGATGCACGAGCAAGGCAATCGATCTACATGTAAAGCAAAGATAATTGAGCACTTTCTTCAATTAGATTAATCAAGTTTGTCAATATACCATGGTCGTCCATACTGTCGGTGTTTTCGATTCAATCTTTTGAAAGATCGAGCGAGCTTCGTCAACTAGACCAGAGTGTGAACATGCATTCAATATGCAAATATAAGTCACTTCATGGATGAACTGTTTTGGCATATGAGAAAACAGTTCAAGAGCTTGCATGCCCATTCCATTGAGACCATAACAATTGACTAAATATGAAGGATTTAAAGCGACTTGATCTTCAACAAACAATAACTTCAGTCTTCCATACTCATTGTTGTGTATAGAAATGCGTGTCTTTGAGAAGTGTTTTCGAAAATCCCGTGTGCTTTGTCTACACATCCAGTTTTACCCTACGAAAGCGATCCGTTTAACATGAAACAGACGAAATGACCTTTATCTTACCCACATATCAATCAAAGCATTGCGAATCTGACTATCGAGAAGAATCGATTCAGGTATTTGGTTGATTGTTGGTTCGATAAGTGAAAGATCACCGATGAGTGCTAAAGCTTTGATAACGCACAAAAAAATAATCGTTTCCGGTTCTAAACCTTCACGTTTCATTCGATAAAACAATTGCATTGTTTTTTTCCCTTGCTTTTCATCGTTCAATCCATTCATAAGATTCCCGTAACTGACTATCGATCTTTTCATTTTCGAAAAGACTATCTCCGCCGTGAGTGTGTCCTTACATTTGATCAACGCATCTAACAGAGAACTGGCGACATAATCATCCGAATAAAATGATGCTGGCATTCTCTTCGAAATCGTCTTTACCAAAGCTAAAGCTTCTGGAGTTCGCAATTGAGCACAAGCGCTGAACAGGAGACTTGTGTTAACATCGTCAGGATTTTTAATTTCTCTGAAGATGTCAACAGCTTTGTCTGCTTGATTATTCTCAATATAGCCTAAATGAAAACAGTCAACTGGATTCAGTTACGTGAGAATATCGATATACCTTTCATCATCGCTCCACATATATGAAGCGTCTTTTTCGTTTCTAGTGTAGTGAATATGAGTTCCGCATGTTCCACATCTCCACATTTCATCAGTGCATCCAGTAAAGATGTGATAATGAACTCATCCTGAAATAATGTCCTGTTCATAACAGTAGAGACGCGTTTTGTGAAATTTAACGCTTCTGGCGTGCGTAGCTGCGCACAAGCATTGAAGAAAAGATTTGTGATGATTGCATCAGGACCATCGATCCTGTTGAATAGATCAATGGCCTTTTGTGCTTGGTTACTAGCAATAAAACCTGAATAAAAAGACGCAACAAGATTCAGTTATGTGTGACATATTGATGTACTTTTCATCATTGCTGCACATATAGGGAGTGTCTTTTTCGTTTCTATCGTACTGAATATGAGTTCTGCACATTCCACATCTCCACATTTCATCAATGCATCCAGTAAAGATGTGACAATGAAGTCATTCTCAAAAAATGACTTGTTCATCATTGTGGAAACGCGTTTTGTGATATTTAAGGCTTCTGGCGTTCGTAGTTGCGCACAACCATTGAAGAGAAGATTTGTGATGATCGCATCAGGATGATCGATCTTCTTGAATAGATCAATGGCTTTCTCTGATTGATTAATTGCAATATAACCTAAATAATAACTGAATACAGTACTGACGGGTACAAAACATACGTACCTTTCATCATCACACCGTACATAGGAAGTAGCTTTGCATTTATTGTGTCGAATATCTTCTCAGCGTGCTCTACATCTCCACATTCCACCAATGCATTCAATAACGATGTAACCAGGCGATGATTTGAATGGAAATTTGTTGGCGTTTGCTGTAACATCTTTTTCATGGCGTCCAATGCTGGTTGCGTCTTCAGAACGGCACAAACTTGGAAGAATACAATAAGATTCACCTCACTCGGTGTTTGGATTTCATGAAAAACTTCGAATGCTTTCTGTGCTTTATTGTTTGTCAGATATCCTACAAGAACTTGTTCTATTTTATACTTTCTTGCACATGAAATAAGTCACCTTTCATCATCGCACCGTACATAGATGGATCTTTTGTCTCCGTAGCATGAAACACTGTTTCAGCACTTGAAATGTCACCACATTGCACTATGCGAAGAAAAGCATGCGACGGACAATAGATTGATGAAACTCACTGTACATATGGATGAGTGATGTTACTATGTATTGATCATCTTTGGTGCGTGATGTAACAAGAGCATGGATCGCTTTACCACTTTGAATATCTCTTAGATGAGTACACGCCTTCAGAGCTTGTGTGATCGTTAAACTGGACAGAATTTCAGTATTGTTTTTTTGATGTTGATGAAAAAGTTGAAGTGCCTGTTGGAATTGTTTGCTATCGTTCAATGTCTTCAGTCGATCGCCGAGATTAGAAGCGAATCTGATGATTGTGGTTCCTTTAAGGAGACTCATGAGAGGTACTAAACCATAATTTAACGATCGTCTCCACATGAACTAATTTTGTAGAAGCAATTTGCTATCTAAATTAAGACAAATATCATGAAATCGCTTTGAAACAATACAGAAGACAATTAGGACGAATGAGCGAAAATCAAGTAACTACCTAGATTCAAAAGTTGACCAGCTAAAGTATTGGCCAGAAAACTTGATCTGAACAAATATTTATAGATGGTGCTAGAGACCATTAAAAGTGTCAAAGTTTTATTAATCATTATCAAATACAAAACGTAGTAAAAACCATTCATGAAAAACTACTCCCTGTGTGTCAATTCCTCCCTGAACAAAGATCATCGGTATGCTTTTTTCGGAATCTTCCTCCTTATCTTTACATTCGATAAGACACTATGCAAAATCTAGTCTTGCTTTGGGCACATTTCGACAGACGAAATCAATCCACTGTTCACTCTTCGTCGACCACGACTATGTGTCGTTGAGTGCTTGACCACTTGCTGCTAATCCACCAAAGATGAAAAACGCTGATGTCGTTTCGATCGAATCACCGCCATGTGCTGCACGGGCTATGGCAAAAGAGGACGACGAATGATGTTCGTTCCATCCACATCACCTTGAAGGTAGAGACGTTCTTTGTCAAGTGATAACAAACAATGACCATGGCGCTGCTCAGTTAGTGATCCATATGCTGGAACACACGACCATGTTTTGAAAACTAGAAACGCCACGCGATTCACTTCATCAAGAACATAGACGATTGAAGAAAAAGCGACAACTGTGGTCGAATGGCTGACACGTAGCGGAGGTGAGCGAGATTTACTGTGAATTTCGAACCAGTCAAATGGAACAAGAGACGTTAGGGAAGGCATCTCTCGGATAAAGAAGACAATAACTTCAATTAAGTCTCTTTTCTGTTCTTGCTGCTAAAAACATCGAAGTTCAAGATCTCGAAAAGCTATCGCGTTCAATTCTTGGTCAAAGCACTTTACACATGTGAACAGATATTTATCGAGGATCCCGCAGTGTTGTTAACCGTACCAATACGCACAATTATCAAAAGCTTCTCTTTCAGTCGAAGGATCACCTTGCGTTGTATATCCATGTCATAAGACTGAATAACGATGGCGGATGTTCGTTCTCTCTAGAGCGATGATGAAAATGTGCTCATTCATGTCCTCAAAAGGTTTCAACCCTTTATTTTCAACTCTTTTCTATGTAATCGACAAACAAAGGACAAAAGTCTTCAAAAATAATCGTTACACGAACATTGCCCGTTTTTATGAAAGTGATGAATTCGATTTGCATCTCGAACTATTATTTCACATTGACGAATCGCTGCGATCAACTTTGTTGCTCGATCTAAAACACAAATTCATCAAATGAATTACTCACATCAAACATCAAATCAACACTTACGACAATCGCCACACACTCTCAAGTTCTTCGTGATTTGAATTCTTTTCGCGTGAGGATTAGCCACGAAATTCCATGCCATCGCAAGTCGCTCACTATGACCACAGAGAACCGATTCGACACTTTCGTCTTTACCCATCGTTCGAGTTATCCAACTAGAATCGTACTCATGGCCATGTGCGACTAATTCTTCTGAGATTTTCTGCACTTCGCGATAGATTTCGTCTGATCGAGGATGAGATGTGTCATGAGCGCGAAATTCCTACAATCAAATCATTTCATATTACTTCAAACAAGACATCGTAAGTTGTGTTCGAACTTACATAAATTTCTCCATCAACTACAGTCGTTGATGTACCGATCTTCTTCTTTGCACCGGATTTGGTGAGTTGAATTCGAATATCTGATGCTTTCCCGATGTCACCACACGATGCGTAAGTGTTCGCAAGAAGAACTTTAGCTGCTGTCAAGGAATCTTTCGTGGATGGGAACAATCTCTTCAGTCGATCACAGATAGTCTGTGCTAGCTGAGCATTCTTATCATTTCTTGCACCCGACAACAACGCCACTAAAACAAATCAAAATAAATCCAATGAATACGTTGCTTTCAGCCATGCTGTTGTCCTTCAATGGAGGAATTATCTCAGATGATAGCACTTACTGTGCATAGTCATTGCGGCTGGATGCGAACGTTCGAATTCCTCGATCAACGTCTGTGCTTCATCGAACAAAGATGCACGAGCAAGGCAATCAACCTACACGAAAAGCAGAGGTGATTGAGCAGTTCCACCTCCTTCAACTTGAATAATCATGTGTGTGAATATACCATGGTTGTCCACACTGTCGGTGTTTTCGATTCAATCGTTTGAAAGATTGAGCGAGCTTCGTCAACAAGACCAGAGTGTGAACATGCATTCAATATGCAAATATAAGTGACTTCACGAATGAACTCTTTGGGCATTTGAGAGAACAGTTCAAGAGCTTGCATGCCCATTCCATTGAGCCCATATGAGTTAACTACGAATAAGCACAAAATTGAACATTGTGGTTGACATAATCACAGAATAAATAGATGCATACTCATCGTTGTGTATGTAAATGCGTCTGGCTCAGAAATGTTCGCGTAAATCTCTTGTGCTTTGTCTACACATCCAGTTTTACCCTACCAAAAATGACTCACTTAACACGAACTAAACGCTATGTTCTTTGTCTTACCCACATATCGATCAAAGCATTGCGAATCTGAGTATCAAGAAGAATCGATTGAGGTAGTTGGTTGATTGTTTCTTCGATAAGTGAAAGATCGCCGGTGAGTGCTAATGCTTTGATAACACACAAGGAAGTGATGATATCTGGCTCTAACCCTTCACGTTTCATTTGGTAAAACAATTGCATCGTTTGTTTTCCTTCTCTTTGGTCGTTGAATCCGGTCATCAGATTTGCGTAGGCGATCACCGGTCTTCTCATTTTGGAGAAAACGACCTTCGCAGTGGACGTATCTCCACATTTGACCAGTGCATCTAGCAAGGAAGTGGTTACATAGTCATTTGAATAAAATGACGACGACATGTTCTTGTAAGTCTGTTTAACTAAACTTAAAGCTTCTGGCGTTCGTAGCTGCGCACAAGCATTGAAGAGGAGATTTATAATAATCGCATCAGGACGATCGATCCTCTTGAATAGATCAATGGCCTTTTGTGCTTGATTACTCGCAATATAACCTGAATATCAACTCAATTCAATCCACACGGGCATAAAACATAGATACCTTTCATCATCGTACCATACATAGGAAGTTGCTTTGCCTTTATGGAGTCAAATATCTTCTCAGCGAGCTCTACATCTCCACATTCCACCAATGCATTCAACAACGATGTAACCAGGCGATGATTTGAATGGAAATTTGTTGGCGTTTGCTGTAACATCTTTTTCATGGCGTCCAATGCTGGTTGCGTCTTCAGAACGGCACAAACTTGGAAGAATACAATAAGATTCACCTCACTCGGTGTTTGGATTTCATGAAAAACTTCGAATGCTTTCTGTGCTTCACTGTTTGTCAGATATCCTACAAGAACTTGTTCTATTTTATACTTTCTTGCATATGAAACTAGTCACCCTTCATCATCGCACCGTACACAGATGGAACTTTTGTCTCTGTGCCATGAAACAGTGTTTCAGCGCTTCGAATATCACCACATTGCACTATGAAAAGCAAAAGACATGCGACGGAGGATTGATTGATGGAACTTACTGTACATATGGATGAGTGATGTCACTATGTATTCATTTTCCTTCGTGCGTGAGGAAACAAGATCATGAATCGCTTTACCACTTCGAATATCTTTGAGACGAGCACATGATTTCAGACCTTGCGCAATCGCCGAACTTGACAGAGTTTCGTTGTTGTTTTTTTGATGTTGATGAAAAAGTTGAAGTGCCTGTTGGAATTGTTTGCCATCGTTCAATGTCTTCAATCGATCGCCGAGATTAGAAGCGAATCTGATGATTGTGGATCGTTTAACGAAAGCCATGAGCGGTGGTAAGCCACCATTTAACGATCGTCTCCACATGAACTAACTTTGTAGAAGTAACTTGCGACCTAAAGTACGACAAACGTCAAGAAAACATTTCCAAACGAGATCAAAGATAATTATGACGAGTAAAGGAAAATAAAACCTTCTCGTCGCAAGAAAACATAAATCGAACTAAAGTCGACTTTAAACAACGTGTGTCTTCACTTCGAGAGTGAATGCATCAATCGGAAACTCAAAACGAAGAGGAACAAAATGTCGCTTTCATTAATTCGATTCAAACACATAACTCTGATAAGACTTTCCTTGCTGCATTAATTTTGAAAGCGCTTTAAAAACTGACTTTATCGCGCATCAAATTTCCAGCTAATACAGTTTCTTAAAACAGAATTCCATTCGATCAAGACAACAAACTATCGGATTTCATTATTGGTTAAAGAAATTTACATCAATAAACATTTATAGATGGCGCTGAACTATTGTCGATCATACTAGAAGACACATAGTTATAAAAAAGCTTCTCCTTTCGTGTATGTTACTGTATGATGATATGCTATCAATCGAAGCATCACCGTGTCTTCATATGCATGGCATAAGACAAAATGACGGTGGGGTACGTTGATACTCTCTGGAGTAATAATGAAAGTGTGGTCATTACACGTCCTCGAAAGGTTTTAACATTTTATTTTCAACTGTTTCCTGTTTAATCAACACACAGAAAGAAATAATAAACAACGAAAAGTCTTCAAAAATAATCGTTACACGAACATTGCCCGTTTATATGAAAGTGATGAATTCGATTTGCATCTCGAACTATTATTTCACATTGACGAATTGCAGCGATCAACTTTGTTGCTCGATCTAAAACACAAATTCATCAAATGAATCACTCACATCAAACATCAAATCAACACGTACGACAATCGCCACACACTCTCAAGTTCTTCGTGATTTGAATTCTTTTCGCGTGAGGATTAGCCACGAAATTCCATGCCATCGCAAGTCGCTCACTATGACCACAGAGAACCGATTCGACACTTTCGTCTTCACCCATCGTTCGAGTTATCCAACTAGAATCGTACTCATGGCCATGTGCGACTAATTCTTTTGACAATTTCTGCACTTCGCGATAGATTTCGTCTGATCGAGGATGAGATCTGTCATGAGCTCGAAATTCCTATAATCGAATTATTCCATATTGCTTCAAGGAAGAAACTATAAGTTATGTTCAAACTTACATAAATTTCTCCATCAACTACAGTCGTTGATGTACCGATCTTCTTCTTTGCGCCGGATTTCATGTGTTGAATTCGAATATCACCCGCCTTTCCTATGTCACCAGACGATGCATAAGTGTTTGCAAGAAGAACTTCAGCTGCTGTCAAGGAATCTTTTATAGTAGGAAATAGTGTCTTCAGTTGATCATAGATATTCTGTGCTAACTGAGCATTCTTATCATTTCTTGTACCCGACAACAACGCCACTAAAAGAAAGGAAAAGAAACACGATCAATGCGTTGATACCATTCACACTGTTGTCGTTCACCGAGGACTCACCGCAGATGATGACACTTACTGTACATAGCTACGACGGGTGGATGCGAACGTTCGAATTCATCGATCAACGTCTGTGCTTCATCGAACAAAGATGCACGAGCAAGGCAATCGATCTACATGTAAAGCAAAGATAATTGAGCACGTCCTTTTTCTTCAATGAGATTAATCAAGTTTGTCAATATACCATGGTCGTCCACACTGTCGGTGTTTTCATTTCAATCTTTTGAAAGATCGAGCGAGCTTCGTCAACTAGGCCAGAGTGTGAACATGCATTCAATATGCAAATATGAGTCACTTCGTGAATAAACTGTTTTGGCATTTGAGAGAACAGTTCAAGAGCTTGCATACCCATTCCATTGAGACCATAACAATTGACTAAATATGAAGGGTTTATAGCGAATTGATCGTCAACAAACAATAACTTTAGTCTTCCATACTCATTGTTGTGTATAGAAATGCGTCTTGATCAGAAGTGTTTTCGAAAACCGCTTGTGCTTTGTCTACACATCCAGTTTTACCCTACGAAAGCGATCCGTTTACCATGAAACCGACGAAATGACCTTTATCTTACCCACATATCAATCAAAGCATTGCGAATCTGACTATCGAGAAGAATCGATTCAGGTATTTGGTTGATTGTTAGTTCGATAAGTGAAAGATCACCGATGAGTGCTAAAGCTTTGATAACACACAAGTAAGTGATCAGCTCGGGCTCTAGACCTTCACGTTTCATTCGATAAAACAATTGCATTGTTTTTTTTCCTTGTTTTTCGTCGTTGAATCCAGTCATAAGGTTCCCATAATTCACGATCGATCTATTTACTTTCGAAAACACGATCTCCGCCGTGAGTGTGTCCCTACATTTGATCAGTGCATTCAACAGAGAGCTGCCGACATAATCATCCGAATAAAATGATGCTGGCATTCTCTTCGAAATCGTCTTTACCAAAGCTAAGGCTTCTGGGGTTCGCAATTGAGCACAAGCGCTGAACAGGAGACTTGTGTTGACATCGTCTGGATGTTTAATTTCTCTGAAGAGGTCAACAGCTTTGCCTGCTTGATTATTCTCAATATAGCCTAAATGAAAACAGTCAACTGGATTCAGTTACGTGAAACATATCGATATACCTTTCATCATGGCTCCATATATAGGAAGCGTCTTTTTCGTTTCTAGTGTAGTGAATATGCCTTGAGCATACTCCACATCTCCACATTTCATCAATGCATCCAGTAAAGATGTGATAATGAACTCATTCTCAAGAAATGACTTGTTCATCACTGTGGAAACGCGTTTTGTGATATTTAACGCTTCTGGCGTTCGTAGCTGCGCACAACCATTGAAGAGAAGATTTGTGATGATCGCATTCGGATGATCGATCTTCTTGAATAGATCAATGGCTTTCTCTGATTGATTACTCGCAATATAACCTAAATGAAAACAATCAACTAGATTCGGTTACGTGAAACATATGAATGTACCTTTCATCATCGCTCCATATATAGCGAGTGTCTTTCTGGTCTGTGCTGTACTGAATATGAGTTCCGCACATTCCACATCTCCACATTTCATCAGTGCATCCAGTAAAGATGTGACAATGAAGTCATTCTCAAAAAATGACTTGTTCATCATTCTAGAGACCTGTTTCGTCAAATTCAATACTTCTGGCGTTCGTACTTGTGCACAAGCATTGAAGAGAAGATTTGTGATGATCGCATCAGGATGATCGATCCTCTTGAATAGATCAATGGCCTTTTGTGCTTGATTACTCGCAATATAACCTGAATAATAACTTAATACAGTACTCGCGGGTACAAATCATACGTACCTTTCATCATCGCACCGTACATAGGAAGTAGCTTTGCCTTTATTGTCTCGAATATCTTCTCAGCGTGCTCTACATCTCCACATTCCACCAATGCATTCAATAACGATGTAACCAGGCGACGATTTGAATGGAAATTTGTTCGCGTTTGCTGTAACACCTTTTTCATGGCGTTCAATGCTCGTTGGGTCTTCAGATCGGCACAAACTTGGAAGAATACAATAAGATTCACCTCACTCGGTGTTTGGATTTCATGAAAGACTTCGAATGCTTTCTGTGCTTTATTGTTTGTCAGATATCCTACAAAGAGCTGTTCTATTTTACGCTTTCATACACATGAAACAAATCACCTTTCATCATCGCACCGTACATAGATGGATCTTTTGTCTCCGTAGCATGAAACAGTGTTTCAGCACTTGAAATGTCACCACATTGCACTATGTGAAGAAAAGCATGCGACGGACAATATATTGATGGGACTCACTGTACATATGGATGAGTGATGTTAGTATGTATTGATCATCTTTGGTGCGCGATGTAACAAGATCATGAATCGCTTTACCACTTCGAATATCTTTTAGACGAGCACACGCTTTGAGAGCCTGTGCAATCACCGAACTTGACAGAGTTTGATTGTTGTTTTTTTGATGTTGATGAAAAAGTTGAAGTGCCTGTTGGAATTGTTTGCTATCGTTCAATGTCTTCAATCGATCGCCGAGATTAGAAGCGAATCTGATGATTGTGAACCGTTTAACGAACGCCATGACCGGTGGTAAGCTACCATTTAACGGTCGTCTCCACATGAACTAACTTTGTAGAAGGAATTTGCTATCTAAAGTACGACAAATGTCAAGAAAAGATTTTTAAACGAGATCAAAGATGATTACGACGACGAATAAACGAAGATCAAGTAACTACCTAGATTCAAAAGCTGACCAGCTAAAATATTGGCCACAAAACTTGTCTGAACAAATATTTATAGATGGTGCTAGAGTCCATTAAAAGTGTCAAAGTTTTATTAATCATTATCAAATACAAAACGTAGTAAAAACCACTCATGACAAACTACTCCCTGTGTGTCAATTCCTCCGTGAACAAAGATCATCGGTATGCTTTTTTCGGAATCTTCCTCCTTATCTTTACATTCGATAAGACAACATGCAAAATCCAGTCTTGCTTTGGGCACATTTCGACAGATGATCTCAGTGCACTGTTCACTCTTCGTCGACCACCACCATGTGTCGTTGAGTGCTAGACCACTTCGTGATAATCCACCAAAGATGAATAACGTTTATGTCATTTCGATCGAATCACCGCCATGTGCTGCACGGGCCATGGGAAAAGAGGACGACGAATGATGTTCGTTCCATCTACATCACCTTGAAGGTAGAGACGTTCTTTCTCAAGTGATAACAAACAATGACCATGGCGCTGCTGACTTAGTGATCCATATGCTGGAACACACGGCGATGTTTTGAAAACTAGAAACGCCACGCGATTTACTTCACCAAGAATATAGACAATTGAAGAAGAAGGGACAAATGTGCTCGACTGACCGACACGTGGCTGAGGTGAACGAGATTTACTGTGAATTTCGAACCCGTCAAATGGAACAGGACATGTTAGCGAAGGCATCTGTCGGATAACCAAGACAATAACT